CGTTAATTCAGTAGTTGGTGAATGAATGGAAAACGACATTTGTTCGAGTTGCTGCTATGTTATCTGAATTGCAGAAAGTTCAGATTCGATAGCAAATCACTTCCTCTTGGAGAAGCTTGACATCACTTCCTCGATTATCAAAATCAAAATCACAAAATGGTTGAATCATTCCTCGAATGTATGAAGCAGGTTTATCTAAATTGCTTTGAGTGTGCGATTTACGCTGATCATTAGCTCATGATAGATGAATTTCAATAGCTTTAAATATGTACCATTTACCACTGTTAGATACTGATAAATAAATTATATTAGTATTCCGGGAAAGAGCGATTCATTAAGAGATGACAAAAATGGCAATTTTTCAAACAAAAAAAACTGTTTATTAAATCGGGATTCAAACTATTGTGAATCTACAATCTCACAAGACGAAATATCATAGAAATAAGTAGTAAGCAGAAATATAAGTAATAAACAAGAAATAAGTATTCCGGAATGGCTTCACATTAATGACACTCAATTTTTGGAGATATTACTTTCAAAATAAAATAAACAGTTCGAACGAATCCGACATTCACGGTCACTGACAACAGCAATTCAAAAGCATGCCAATATGCATAAATCGATTATCCAGCATACCGAATTCCGCGAGCGATTTCAAATCGGAACAGTTACTCAAGACAATTGGATTTCCTCTTCAGCTTCTTTACTTAAATTATTCGCACTCTNAATCATTTGGAACAGAACACTCGCCAACGAAGGTAAATTGTCTGAAGATGATTACGAAAAGCGAATGAAATTTTCAGATCTTTTTATTTGGAAAAGTTCTTTTTCAATGACAATGCTGGATAAAACCGTGATCATTTCGATGAAGAGAGCAAACCGCATTTTATTTCTAGAGAAATTCGAAATATTCCAACAATTTTTTCAGTGATAAAGTATCTAATTTTTGCGGTGTGCTACAGAATCTAAGAGAAATGCAACAGAAATTGTGGTAAAGTATCCTTAGATGAATGTAAACTAACGTTCCATTTTCGACAATACGTCCATGATCGATAACCAGTATTCTGTTTGCGTTCACAATAGTTGATAGGCGATGTGCTACGATTACCGTAGTTCTCGTTTGACACATCTCATTCAAACATTTCTGAATTGATCGTTCTGTTGCTGTATCTAACGCTGAGGTTGCCTGTAATGATGTTTTAGTTTGACTCGAGCAGTCCATTACCGACACTTTTTGAAATCTTGACCTGAACTGACGCCATTCTTACGCGATCTGCTGATAGTTTTTACCCCTTTAAAATTCAACGAGCAATATTTCAGAGAGGAATTTGTCAAACTCCTTAAATCAACTTATCGATAATTTTGCATGTTTCAATATTCAAACAGAGTTTAAATGAATAATTTTGTCGCATCGTATCGTCTTTAAAAAATGTTTGTCATCTTCAAACTGACAAGTGTGGATGACCCAGCAATGATCACAGTGAACAACTTNTTCCCCAAAACACTCGTTCAGTGAAGCAGCAAATATCCTCAGAAATGGTACCTCGTCGAGCAGGATGTATTGTGGCTGTTTTAGCACAGTACGTGCGATCGCAACTCGTTGCTTTTCACCACCACTCAATTTTAGACCTCTTTCACCAACCATTGTATCATACCCTTTAAGTGCCCTTCGGTTTTAAGATCGACATATAAGAGCGTGGCATTAGATAGGCTATAGTAATGAAATAGCCAAGTACAAAGGAAGAAAGATCCAACATAGACATCTCCTTAAACAATTACTAAAAGAGGTAACTACTATATTTCAAATTTCCATTCTCTCTCTTACTATCGAGTGATAACAACGGTATGAAAAACTTGGATCACCCTGTGGAAATGAGATGATCTTGTCGTGAATTTCGGCCATTCTCGCCGCCTCTTCAACTTGTTCATTATTAGCATCAGGATCACCGAACCGAATATTGTAACTAAAAAGTGAATTCGATCAGACATTCAAAACGAATCGCTTTCAATAAAACAGATATTCATTTAATCTCTTTCAAATGAAGTTAAAGAAACAACCGTATAGTTTCATTGAAGAGTACAGTATCTTGCGGTACGATACCGATGTGTTTTCGAAGAGATTTGATCTTAACATGACGAATATCTTGGCCATCGAAAAGAATTCTCCCATCCGTTACGTCAAATAAACGGAACAATAGGCGCACTATTGTACTTTTACCAGCCCCCGATGGACCAACCTGAATACTTATCTTCAATGATAAAGTATGAAGGTTCACTTTCCATAAAAAATAAGCATTTTCTCGTAGAAAAATGCTTAATTTAGTTATAATGAAAGAAAGGTCAAGTAATATTCTCCCATACAGAATTGCAATCCAGTACGAAATTAAAATTCGGTTTCGAGATGGAAAAAGCTCAGAAGATCGAGTTAGAAATGAATATCAAATCAAAACAAGGAGCTTCTCAAAGAATTTAATCATACGAAGAAAAATTATCGAAAACGTTATGAGATCATTATTTAAAACAGGAAATAATCAATGAACGAACTTACCAAAGCAACGGTTTCTCCTTTGTTTACTGTAAAAGAAATACCACTGAGTACCGTTCTGTCAGAAGTGTACGCAAAACTAACATTATCGAATACTATTGAACCGTCATGTACTTCTAACTGTTTCGCATTTGGTTCGTCTTCTATCTGAATGGTTTGCGCTCCATCTGTTTTTATCAGTACTGATTATACGCCAGTGTGGTGCTGTTACGGATAAAATCGGAGATTTTCGGGGACGAAATTTCCACGAAAATGTCCGCAGCAGAAAAAGTCAGGGACGGGGAAAATCGGGTACTAATCCGCGAAATTTCCTACACCACACTATTATACGCACGAACATATCAAACACCTTCGCAAACCAAACGGATTAATCAACACAAACCAGTTTCCGACAAACTGAACAGCAGAATCAGACGAACCGCAAAACAAAACAAACCTCCACTTGTTCATCCAATAACTCGAACATATTCTCCATATCAATGAACGATTGTTGAATAACACTGAAGATAAGAATTGTCATACTTGAAATACAAAACCTGAATTTGATTGATAATATTCCTAATTGTAAGCAAAACAACAAACCGATAAACAGTGCCAAAGAAATTCAGCGGAGTATAAAGTTGTAGCATGTAGGTGGTGAAGAGTACATAATCGCCAGGTGTCAGTGGACTGTCTTTGAGTGAAATAAGATAGGCGATCAGTAGAGTGCCACTCATCAAAGCGATTGCAATTGTACCATTTTGACATAAGTTCAACAACGACAATGACGCAGATGATGCCCATTCAGCTTTTTGATACCTACAAAAACATGATATGCAATTGATCCATTTGAAACAAGTGATTACTTCAGTCCAATGAAAAAAGACTGTTATCAATACTGTTTAAACGATGAATGTAATCTAACCAACGAACGGAGTCAGCGAAACGCTTCACTTCAAGCTGTTCGGCATTATAATATTTGACTGTTTCGTAATTCAGCAATGAATCAACCCCAATTGTGCGCGATCGATTCTCGCGTTCGTTCATATCACGGCGGAACTTGGTACGCCATTCAGTCAGCAATACTGTCACAACTTAAAATACGATTCATTCACACGATTACACATGTTCACTGTTTCAGAGAGCACTTGCTGCATCCCTTTCGTCCACCCTATCACAGGCATTCTTTCTCCATACACTCCTACTGTACATCCAATTTATCATTAGTGCTAGAATGTTTCTTGGATATACAAACATACATGTAATAAACTGATAACTGATCAAATAGGGGAAAGGTTCCAAAGAAAAAAAAAACGAACAAAGGTAAATGAACATGGTGACGAAAACGATAACACCGAAATACCAGTCGAACATCGCGAAGAAGAACATTATCGCTATTACAACATCGGCTAACATTGGAAGAATCGTGAAGAGAACATAACTAAAAAGTAGATTACATAACACATCATCTTGAATGATGATCCTCGACTGAGAATTTGATGAATGAAATGGAAAATTAATCTAACAAAGTGATTACTTCAAAATACCGTCAATAGAATTTGTACCACGATCCATAACTCGGAGAACTTCACCAGTTTTTCGTGATAAATGCCAACGAAGCGACAGATTATGCAAATGCTCAAAAAGCTCGACCTGAAGTTTGGATTCAATTGTTCCTTTTCACCACAAGGCATCAGAATGGCAGTAATTCATACCACTCCCCCTCCTCCTACGTGAATCTTCAGAACCCTCCCGTAAAGAGATGCTCAAGTGAAGCGAAAGTTCGAAGAAAAAACACACGACCTGAATCTCAAAAGTTGTATACTGCTGTATCGGTATCCAAAGGTAAGACCTTAAAGTATAGAGGCATCCACCCATCACTGAAAATCATTTCCAGTGAGTCTCCACACAAATGAAAATGTGTGATCGCGCAGAAAGAAAACACTAAAGGATTTCATTGAGTGAAAATCCTTTCGAATATGAACAATAAAGATTCCGAAACATTTGAAAGCTCAAAGACTTCGTGAAATTTAATCATTAATGCTGCCAATACTGAGAATTGTGACCATCTCGAGTATCTGGAAAGCCATTTCAAAGATATTTTGATGTTCATACCTGAACTTCCTTGAAGAAATTTCAAAAGGGTAGAGACGATAATAAGCGTATAGATATTTGGATATCCATACGACAAACCATCCACTGAAAGCATTCGTCATGTTATATCCAATAATACAAAGGATCTCGATTGGTAGCGAAAAAATACTTATTTTGTCCGAGACATAAAACTTTTAAGCAGCAGATCACTCAAAAATATCTTCGAATGATGAGATAATTTTGGTGGAATGATGAGAACATAGCACACGCACCGATCCATTTGCTATAAAGTGGCAAATAAACGTTGATCACACGGCCAACGATAAGCAACAGCAGGCAGAATAACACTCGTATTTGCAAGAGAACGCTCTTCTTTGGCCATATATACGGTAGTACTATGGCCATCTTTTTGGATATTTTTGACCATGCCTAGTGTGAAAATTACCGTTCGTCTACAAAATGCACAGATCGAATTAATTGCATAAAAGTATCTGAACGGTTTTTAGACGTTAAGAACGCTCGATGAATTTGATATTTCTCGAGCAATTTCAAATGCTTTCTTAATCTCTTCACTCGTCCATCAACAATGACAATAAAACGACCGTACTGTAGTTGAAGCGCTGAACACGGGTCGCGATGATGACGTTACCGTAATCAAGTAGA